AATTTTTATATTTTTTTTAGAAATATATATAATTTTTATATATATGTAATATTTTTCTAAAAAAATATATATAAAATTTTTATTCACAAAACATATATCTATATATGTACCTATATGACACACATTTAGATATTTCCAGCACTATTGAAAAAATTAATTCACTCGTAAATTACATCCGCTCTTTTGTGACATATTACCAATATTTTATCCAAAATTACTCCCGCATTGGACATTACAGGAAAAGGAAGACGGTTTCTGATTGAAAAGAAAAAAAAGGGTATTGAAGTCAATCTCTTTTGCCTTGAAAAAGAGAGCTTGGAAGTCCGATGAGAATAGGATGTCTGGTGACTAGTTGAACGGATTTATCGCTACCGATTTCGATCGGGATTGGAATCGGACAGTAACATCGTGTTTCCGCGCAGGAAGGAAATAGCATCGTTCGTATGTCGATTCGACAATTACCGTACGTCAAGATATACATTGTAGAGTGTATGATTTTTAAGCGCATACGCATGCGCTCATTATTCCGTATCTAGTTGATAATTACATTCTCTATTCTAATTACTATAAAATGACGTTGAATAGATTTGCACGCGCGAAGCCAATAGATACTCGATAGATTGTAACACTCAATTTCTAATTTTATTAATTATGACCGCATTTTCCAATGCACAAACCAGTTAATCGATCGATTAATATCCATAATACTCGTTTGTTATATATTTCTGTCGCCCACATACGACACGTTTAATCGAATTTCACGATATATCCCCTCTGTCAAATGTAAAACTCTTGATCACTAATTTTATTAATTTATTACATTATTGAATGCATCAATTATTTATTAAATAAAAGAATCAAATTACCGAATAAAAGTCGCCACAAAATTCAATTTAAAATCGATTCGCACATTCGCATTTTTTAAAGTAAAGTAATTGTTAATAAAATTAAAAGTACAAAAAATGAGGGAGAGAAAGAGTTTTCTCCCTGTTGTTCATTAATTTTACTATACAGCAATTTAATATGATAAAATTATCTACCTTAAGAGACAAATGTATGTAGCTTCTATATATAGCCGTTAAAACTTTAACGATCTGTAACTCAATTAAATTTTAATTCTTTGAAAAACGCAAATATTGTATCTTTGTTTTACCTTGGAAAGTTATTCAAGAATCGATAGACATTACTGCCCAAAATAATCCTCACATGTTACCAAGCATTCTGGAGCTTCGGACGAAGAAAATTTTTTCACATCGTGGTACACGGTTCGCTGCTTTTCCATTTTAGCTCTTACTTCTTCTTTCCCCCTTCCACTTCTCTCTCTCTCACACTCCTCTTCAATGGGAAACTTCGACAGAAGTTTAGGCGATAACCGTCACCTCGAGTCCTCTCTGCTTTTGCCGTATCGAGTCACTCATATTCCAAGAGAACCAGAAGAAAATCGGGCACCGACGAAATTTCACGCCGGACGACACTTTATTCCTTCTTCATCTTCTTTCTCAAGCCTCGTTCCCTCTTGACGTCAAAGTTTTGTACACATGGAGGTATTATCTCGCTCATAGTAAATTCATAGTTCGTCGAGTTATAATAACGCCGTTCTGTCCGGCGAATGACGAAAAGTTTTGTGACGGTTTTGAAAAAAAGGTTCGAGTAACCGCGACGTTATTAGAATTAAGAGAGAGAGAGAGAGAGAGAAAGGGAGCAAACATAAGCGGAGGAAAAAGCCAGAAGGAGAAGGAAGAATGGTACAAAATTTATTCCTCTTTTCCAGAATGAGACAAGACGGCAAAGATGGAAGAAGCACCGAACCGGCTTTACGTTTTTCTCTCGCCTCTCTTGCCCTTTTCATTTTCCAGCGACACTCGAGTTTTGCTCGGCCCGAGAGAGAAATTGCCTCTCAAAGTAAATTCACGATACCTTCGACTTATAATAATTTCACGCCAACGCGACGTCCTGACATCGTCGCCGAACGATTTGTTTCGCGGCGCAAACTTTTCTTAACAAAACACGAAAAAAATTAATGGTGCAATATTATGACGAGAAAAAAGAAAAAATGAAAATATATAGTACTTTGATATCACCTGTCGCAATATACCAACTATAATCATCCAACTTTTAAAAGAAGAGAATATAAACGTTACTCGAAATTTTTCAGAGTTTTAATTAACTTTTCGCAATAAATTGAATTTCTCAAGATTGCACCATTTTGACGGGAATTCATTTCGCCATGACATTTATTTTTTTCGAAACAACTTTTCAATTCTCCAACGGAATGTAATTTTCATAGTCAAGTATATCACATAAAAGTAATAATATGAAAAAAAGAAAGAAACAAAATGAGGGATATATTTTACTGGAATATGTATGACTGCAAAAACATATTACAAAGAATACGATAAACTCTCATATAAATAAGTATGCGAATGAGTTTCTATATTAATACACAAACGTAATTGTCATTTGAGATATGTGTACAATGTTCTCAGCCATGAAAAAGATTACACAAAAATATCTCTTTCATTTTTACACACGAATACACTGTAACGCACTTCTGTGTGTGTGTGTGTGCTAGAGTTTCAAATAAGAATGCATTCCAATTCATTGTCCTATATAGAAAGAATTCTATCCCATTATCGCCTAAGACTATTCTATTTTTTTGCGTGTTTTTTTAATTAGTATCAATGAATAATTTATTTTTTTATTTTTTATTTTTTTAAATGTCTTGTATACTTTATGTAAGCATACTCTTTCCATATCTAAATTATTATACAAATTTATCTCTGTCGCTTTGTGATCTGAAATTCAACTCTCACACACTGATTTACACTGTGGCTTCAGATTTCTAGTTAACATACCTACATATTAAATTACAACTCATCTTGATAATTTATCTTTTTTACTACGCTTTGATTATATTTTTTATATAAAATATATTCGCAAGGATAAATTAAAATAAAATACAAGAATAAAAATACAAGAATTGTGCACGCTTTGATCTTACTGAATAATTTTTCAGAATATTATGGGATGGTTACATTTCTGTAATATTAAAGTTTTCAAAGGAATGAAATGAAATTGCTACATACAAATAAAAATAATATATACATATAAAAACAATATATACAAATAATAATAATTCGAGCCAGCTTGAATGAATATATTGCGTTGAGAGATCAAACTCTGTTACTTACTCTTGGATCTATATTCACCGTTTTATCTTTTCAAGATTTTCCTCCTCTTCAGTTTATCAAGGCTATTTTTCTTTCTAGTTTTAAATTACGTTTAAATTATCTTTCTTAAAATTACACTTGATTTATACTTAATTAATACTTGATTTAACCTTTCCGCATCATTTTCTCATTAGTTAAACTTTTACAATCCTTTGTAGTGCAAAATCGAACATTGTAACAAAAGAATGGACGTAAGTCGCAAATCTTGGAGTACTTGCAAGCGCTTACAGCGGATTTTATAATTACGCGACACAGTCAATTAACACTCAAAGAGCTAGTCGTAACTAGTCCCGATTCATTCGAAGCGGTGCATTATATCGTCGCGATGCAGGGTTCATCGCACCTGTGCATTCTCGCACAATGGAGAACAATTTTCCAGGAGTGAAGATTCCCCAGGCCGATGTCAATGGTAAAACCGTCCGAGGCACGCGAATCGGTGGATATAAACGCGTCATAGTTCGCTAAATCGAAATTCCATCCTCCCACAGGTCATACTCGTGCGGATGATCTAGAAGCGGAAGTGTCCACCGTTCCAGCGACTTTGTCGATAAATAAAAATTGAACGGAATCATTCTCGTGATTCATTCGCGCAATTTTGCCGTACCGTCGGATCTAACTAAAAAAGACATAATTTTTGCTGTTCTATTGTAAAAACAAGAAATGGAAAAGATATTAAATGGTAAGAGATAAATTCTGTCACCGAGGCACTGTTTTATTGTCTCTTAATAAAAAAAATTCTTCGAATAAAAGTTAGCTAGAGATGATATTCCATCGATAATAACATTGAAACTCTACTTTTAATGAGAAACTGCATTCTAGAAGCTAAATCCATTAACGACGCCGCTTTGCGACTCTATGCAAACTCATGCTCTTTTCATTGTCAGTAATAATATATAATTTTATTACAGTCCTTTAATTACAGTTAGTTCGATAATTCTAACTAGATCTAGTATAATTGCGTTACTGCTGATTATATCATCGACCATAAAATTTATTAATTTTTTTTTACATATTAGTATCTATGTAAAACTAAACATACAATTTAAAAAGATATAGATTAAAAGTTACTTGACACAATTAACTTGAAATGAATCGCAAACTCCCGAACTGGCTCAAAAACAATTGTAATTAATATATAAGTATTTAAGCATCAATCTCATTCCGATTCCTTCATATAATATTATAATGTTTGCGTACGCAAATTTGTCTACGAGTTTATAATTACACACCGTGGACCGTTTATCTTTAACGAGATATCTATCATTTTTAGCCGCTCTTGATTTTGACCTGGATATCGAGGTCGAGTAGAGCAAAGCAGAACGAAATTTTCGGCGGAGCTGAACCCTTCGGGACAGAGTGGTCTGTTCGCGTTTCAAGATTATTGAGGAAACATCGGCGATAAAACGGCAAGGAGGTATTACTCCCGTGAGATTTCCGTCGACAATTCCATCGAAGCGAGTTACGAAACTTTACTCCGGTTTACAATCGACTGCTACATATCGAAAATAGCCTCTTCGTTTTTCCTCTCATTTTCCCATCTCATTCGAATCGCGATAGAGAGATAAATTCTCATTGATGGAAACTGTTGACTCGACGTGGTTCAGCTTCGCTCGATTTCTCTTCGTCGACGAGGACGACAGGGAGAAAGGACGAGCGGCGATCGCGTTCTTCCTCGTGGCGAGGAAGGACTCGTCGACGCCGCTCGCGAAACACACAGACGCGACGAACGAGAACGGATCATTGAGCACAGGTGGGCTACGGCTGTTTCAGGAGTGACCATCTTGCTATCGCTGACGGTGTTCCTGAACCTCGTCGCCGAGACCCTGCCCCAGGTCTCCGACGCAATACCCCTGTTAGGTACAACTGAGTTTTTACACACAGAGCGAATGTCAGAGTAAACCGACTCGATATACACTGTCGATTCGCTGCAGCGCCCACGAGTTTGATAGATCGAGAGATCGAGAATGACTATACTATGGCTTGAAATGAAAATCGTGAAAGTTTGACCGGATCTTCGGGTGGGGAGAATTTGCGCGTTAATATTTGAAGAGGCGAGAGTTTCTTTCCTACATTCTTCTCATTCGAGAGATTTTCATTTAAAATTGAATCAGAATTGATTAAGAAGTAATTGAGGTACTTTTTGGGTCATCGTTTGCCCTTTTTAAATTTTTAATGCATTCGAAGCACGAATCAATGGAATATTTCTTTCCTTTCAATGGATCTTGTTTCATCGAAAGAAGAAAAATACTCCCATTGTTATTTATTTGTCCGCTTTGTACGCGATGAAAAGCAAATCTCTTTTGAAATAGATATTACTATATTGTTGTCATGCTATGATATTGAATCTGCGATATTATTCGCTTCCATTTATTTTATTAAATTTTAATTTATTCTGTTAAACGTTGGAACAATGAAAGACAATTCTAGACAATTTATGCTTTATTTTTGCGCTTTCTCAGCATCATGAGTGATCGAGGAACTTTGGGCTGACAGAAAAATATACGCATTACTTATAATATTAAGAGAAGCACTTTAATCCTCCCCCGAAGATTTTGTGTAACGGAAGCACAAGTGAAAAAGAAACGTGGCGCCCTGCAGTTGAAACGAAAGCGCTTTCCCGTATGTAAGAGAATTGAAAATCATAGAATATTCGACGTTGGAAAAGGAGACTCGTTGTTCGGCGTCGCTTTATCCGATAAAGTTATTTTATCGAAAAGCGTATCGTAGTAAACAAACATTCGCCGCGTAGTCGTTTCTTTCTTAAATCGCGATAGCAGGGAAAGACGATAGAAGAGGAGGCGGAATCGCGTGGCTCTCAAAAATTCGATAGTTCTCAAGAAACCTCTTATCGGGCTCATACGATGCGTATCGATAGATATAAAGCCAAATTGTAGTTTCGGAACACCGAGATTAGAGATACGTAATCTCGAACGATCATTTTAATTGTACGAGAACTTGAAAATTATTATTTGCAGTCGTTTGATGGAAGAAAAAAATAACTCTATGTTCGATATTCCATTTTCATCCTGCTTTTAACCAATTTCATAATTAATATAAATCTCTTATATACATATTGAATTATTATTAAATTTTCTTAATCTCGAGTGTAACTTTTTTTTATTTTTTATATAATTTCTTTTATTTCTATATTTTTTTTACATTGCATCTAATTATGATGCGTGCAAAAAGTCCAAATATGTCGACGAAATAGACGTGTGTCAAATCAATCCAGAGATTTATCATGTTCTGTCAAATGGCAATCGCCATTTCAGGCATAGCTTTTCGCATAAGTCGTAAAAATTCTACGAGATTCTCGAGAAAAGTCCCGTCGTAAGACACGAAGTTGTCGATTTACAAACTTTGCAAGAGATAAAAGCAATGTCGAGGGCCGCCAAAGAGACGCCTTCAGAATTGAAGGAATAGACAAGAAGCACAGGAAAAGAATCTCGAGTACGTCCGTAGTTGTTATTGCCAAAAACGAAAGTCAATTTGATAGAAGACGAAAGAAAGACGATGAAAAGAGAATTATTGCCTTCTTGATGCGCCTCAGAGATTTTCCTCGCGCTATAACTTCGATCGGCTTTAATTGAATAAGTTTGCATCATAACGGCCGAGAAACATCGAGGCCGCATTCGGCATACTTTATCGGAGTAATACATTTTGTTTTAGTTATATCGGAAGCCTTTAATTTACACCGCATCTTTAAAAATTTTTAACGAAACAATTCCCAAAATGCGCTTTCACATTCTTAATAATAATTAATGTTTTGTGTCACTTTTAATTTGTTTTATCACATTATTATTTCCCCCACTTCATAAATATCTCTTCCGTAAATAACGTACAAATTTAATAAACGTTTTCGTTATTTACGATATTTTCGAGTGTTATTACACCTATCATATCTGTTTACTGGTTTTCGATGTGTATAATATAATTGTAAATTTAGAAATATTATTTGTGCAAATTTTTTTCACGCGATGTATAGAGCACATAGAATTTCACGTTCAAGTCACGGAAAGCTTATTTGAGAGTAGTATGTCATTGACCACCGCAAGAGTCGATCACAGCTGTCAATTCGTAGTTTCGCTCGTCGCCACGTCCTGCGGTCCATTCTCTTTTTTCGGTACTTTTTGCTCGCACCATTTATTTTACAGGGAATGACATCTCAACGATTTTATCAAACCACGCTGATCGAAGTAAATTAAAACGCGTCAATCGTGCTTTATCAACGTTGCGACTTTATAATCGACTAGTGCACCATTGCTCTCTCGCGCGTATATCAATTCGAAGGTTATCGAAAGAATATGTCACGTTCTTCTTTCGCTAACATCCGCGAAAGAGAAAACACGTCCGGTTATTTGCGAAATTAATTAACAGCAAGTCAAAGAGAGAAGTTTCGACGTGCTTATTTCGCGTGATTTCCGGGAAAATCGAGGGTTATCGCAGGGAGAAGAAGAGGAAACTGCTGAGAATTAATATCTGTCTGTCGTTCTACGAGAAAAATGACGCGTTCAGAAAGAACTGACGTCCATCAGTTTCCGTCACGCGCTTTTGCATCCGCGTAGTTATGTCAAACTCGTCGCAAAACGAGAAATTCGATGTGCCCGTATACACATTCGAGACTGCTTTGTCCAGAACATTCTCTTGCAGCTCGTCGTTATAAAAAATGTATTCTCCGATCTTTAAGTTGCTTTCCAATTTTTTGAACATCGACCAACACTGTATCTATTATTTAGTCGATAAAAATAGAGTATCAGTATTTTTTGTATATTTTATAGATTCTGCATAATTGATCTATCTTAATTTATTCGAAGCGTGGTGTGAATATAGATGACGACAAAATTTCCTTTTCATCTAAATTTTAAATAAACCTGACTTGGATGTAATTTTAATAAAATAATATAATATCAAAATTCCCAACGAAAATCAATAGAAAAATGAATGATCAAAGATTCCACATTTTACTCGCACACTATTCAGATCTTTTTCTTTTCTTTCCCTTTATTATACTGTATTTTTTTACGAATATATTTCAAAGTTCTCATATACTCGCGCACTCAAAATTCATATTCTCCGCGAGAGAGACATCTTTTTCGCAGAAGTGTAGTTATTCCCTCTGCTATTATATACAGCAAAGAGTACTCTTTAAGTGAGGAGGGTACTTTGTGAAGTAGCGCGCGCTCACAAAGTGCCTACTAATTAACAATGTTCGATGCAAAGCAAGGTCGAAACGTACATATATACGGTGCATTATCGTTTTGCCACGCACGGTCACTCGATTACCATACTTATCTCGAGGACCGCACCGTAAAATGAGGTGATCAAACGCATGATTAATTCACGTGAGAACCGAAAGCCCATTTCGACATCGACGATAAGAATTAAATACGGGCGGAATGCAAACAGTGGAAGAGGAAAAAAGCTGCAGCCAATCCTTGGCCCGAATATTTCTCGATTCGAGAGATGCCTCCGACTTCCATCTTCGTGCATGCATTTCATCATCGCATATTTATTCGCGTTTATTTCACGATTTATCCAGCGCACTTACATATGCCGCAAAGCATGCATACAGTTGCAAACAGACGAGGGGATTTTTTACACTCACAGTGATCGAGTTGCGTAAATGCGAGCAATTCCGTTTAAGGAATAATGATTAAGACACAAAGTGAAGTTAAAGTACAAAGTCGCGCGATAATTAATAATAAAGTGTAGAAAATGATGTATACACGGTTCTTTAATTTTACAACTTTGTTGCAAAATTGTCTCTTACATCGTCATAAAGGAAACTACAAAGTTCAATCGAAACACGCGTGACATTAACAACACATTTCCGGTTAACGACAGCGGCGCAAAAATGCCGCCTTTTGTGAATTAAACGCGTACTTTACACGCGCAGCAATGCGAAATTATGTCTTTCCTTTGTTCCTCTCAAAGAGGAAAGACTAAAAGGAAGAAAAATAGAGAAAGAAGCTTCGAAATACGCCGGCGTATATATATATGTACGCTCCGCTTTTACGAAAAGACGCATTCATATTTTCTCATCTACCAACCGTACGCGCGCGCTGACATCGCTCGACGCCCGTTTTACTATGTCTAATCTAGCAAGATGAACCACGTAGCTTACCGGAAGCGCTGCGTCTTTTCCATGCTTCCGCCGCGACAATCTCTCATGTCGACGCAACGCTATCTCGTGCATCTCCATTTATAAACGCTCCACCGTGGAGTTTTCATCACTACGTTCCATCATTTCGGCTGTCACTTACTCTTTGCCATCGCGGACACGAGTCTCAATTCTTGGTAATATACCACTTGCCGGGCTCATTTAACACGCTAAAATATTTCTCGCGTTGCATTTAGCGAGATACATGTATATACTATATCTTCATGCGATTTAATCACAGACAAATGACGAAAGGAATACAATTTAATTAACGATTATAAGCAGAAGTTTTCTCTCGATGCGAATATATTCATGTCATGTGATTTTGTAACGAGTTTTGATATCGACTACGTAAAAAACAAAAAAAAAAGAAAAGAAAAATGCCATGAAAGCAAGTTGAAAGAACGAACGAGTTTCCTCTTCCATCATGTAACGACTGCGAGCAATTCTTGCGCGATGCAAACTGCATATATACGTATAGGTATATATACGTCGATACACGTTGCAACGTGAGATTCGCCTCGGGGGATTAGCACGTTGCAGCAACAGGACGCGGGAGCTCGTGAAATCGCCACGCGAACGAAATGAACGGCCACGCTATTCAAAGTCCAGAGAGCAAAACTCTTCGCGAAAATATACATCAGAATGCGGGAAACTTGCGCGGACGCGAGAGAGTGGTACGAATGAGAATGACTGAGTGTGTGGGTGCGTATAAAACAATGCATAGCTTCATTTCTTTACTTCGCTTCGAGTTTTCCAAGCGGAAAAACGCGCGCACCCATACTTCCCTTCGCAACAGGGATGTAACTCCGATATTCGCGATATTTTCTGTCTCATCGAACGCTTCGAGACGATCCTATCTCCATGCCGGAAAGTTTCGAACGTGTTAAATACGTGTGAAAAGATTTTTTTAGTTTTTTTTTTTTGGCGATAAATAAATATCCTTACTTTTGTTTCTTTCATCGTGTATTTATCCCATATACTTTGTGAAATTTTTGAGAAAACTTTCATTTAATTGTATCGTATTATTTATTATATTTGATTAACATAAATGATAGAAACATTTAGATTTAAACCTGTTTTTGTTATATTTGAATCGACAAATCAAATTTAGAAATAATACACGCAAAGACGGTTATCGGATTAAAGGTTTTAATGAACACTCTAATTCGATTTAGTAATTCAGAATTAAAGGATGAATCGGATGTGGAAAATAAAGATAAGAATTTGTAGCTTAGAAGAAGTGTAGCAATTGAGAGAAAAGTAACTGCGTTTCCCAGCGATAAAGAGTTACTAGAGCAAAGCGAAGCAGAAATGAATCAACGAATGAGTTCAATCTAAAATCCACCCTGTACTTTCATATATATCTTATTACATGACACATAGATAAATAAAAAAATTTAATAATTTTAGTGATCTCTACTCCCAGATAGAAATAAATCTTCTATCTAAGTATTTGCCATTGCAAAACTTATTATATCATATACGTACTAAATGAAAACAGAGTCAAAAAGGATAGAAATAAATCAACAAATATATTTTCAATTGGGTAAAATTAAATTTATCTCTCCAATTCCATTTATCCGCCTTTATTACAGCAATATCTATTACCTGAAATACAATTTATTTTAAATTTAAATGAAAAAAAAAATAATCTTGCTAGTATATTTTTCTATTAATTGTAATCAGAATCGTTTGACTTGACACTTGAACACGTTCGAAACTCTTTGGCTTTAATTGGCCTGGCTTTTTCGCGCTTCTCCACAAACGAACCTGACATATTTGCAACCAGGAGACTGCGTGATACGTTCCTCGTCTTTTTCTCGAAATGCAGGAGCAAAACG